GCGACATGCTGGTAATGTTCAAAGGGGCACGATGTGCCGGTGTTGCGTGGAGAACGGCGGCAATCGCATCTATTAAAGCAAGGTGTGTTGCTGCCCTTGCGGTGGCAACAAGGAGGAGTGCAGAATCCTCATGCCGCCCTGTGTTTGCAGTGAGAACTTGTGTTAGCCAAGGATACAGTACCATTTGTAAAGTTTCATGGTACAGTCTTGGTTGTGATGTGTTTGTGCTTGGAGATTGCCCAGAGTGCTCAAGGCGAGCGTATGCACAGACAAAGCTGGCGTCCAAGCTTTACAAACCAGTGATGCAAGGAGCCTAACATAGGCAAGTTGCACAACAGCAGTCAACGTCGCTTGTGTCGTTGCGCGCAAAAGTTAGAGCCTCTGCGAACTTCCATGGTTTCGGTGCAGTGATCTTCGCTGCATAATACCTTGACCTGGACTCGTTTTTTCGAACTACAAGTGGATCTACAAAGATCTTGAAACCTATAACCTCACCCCTAAAGGCCCTAAACCTTAAAGGCCCTAAACCCTATAACCTCACCCCTAAAGGCCCTAAACCCTATACCCTCACCCCTAAACCCTAAACATCAGAATCCAAAACGTCAAAATCCTTCCCTGCTTGGAGGTTCGTGGGTAGTTATAAGTGAGGTTATAAGTCCCCTAATTTTGGGTCATAACTATAGTTGCCCACTTATAACCCCACTTATAACTACCCATGAACCTCCAAGTGGCCTGGTGCAGTTCGGCGCAGACCTGCTGACGGCTCTTGCGGCCCTGCCCGGGCCGCAACCCTGCGTACCAAGTGTCCCAGAGCCTGGGTTTAGGGCTTTAGGGTTTAGGGTTGGGTTTAATGTTTAGGGTTTAGGGTTCGGTTTAGGGTTTAGGGTTGTTATAAATAGATTTAGTTGAAGTTACTATAATAATACAGATTTAACTGACGCTACTAAAATGGGGATTTCATTGAAGTGACTATACCAGGCGTGTAATTGAAGTGACTATAGAAGGGGTGTAATGGAAATTACTCTCATAGGGGTGTAATTCAAGTTAGGCTGTAAAAAGGATTCAACTGAATGCAACAGAGATTTACTTGAAGTTACTATAGTACGGATTCTAGTTGAAGTTGCTACAATAGGGATCCATCTTCTTGTCTTACAAAGATAATTGCTATACTGGGGATCTATCGTACAAAGAAGAGTTTCGCTATTGTGGTAGCTTTAGCTGACTTCCTTAGCAAGAGCCCGGGTGCCTCAACCCTAAGAGCTTAGGAGCGTGTTGATGTGAGGACCGAGGTCTGAATGCACGTAGTCATCAAAGAGCAGGCACTGGAGCTGCACAAGAACAGCTTCCACGCTGTAAGAGGGACTCCAACCTAGGTGATGGTTGGGAGAGAATCAAGACTCTAAGGATAAGAATGTAAGATAATCGAGAATCTAAGTACTCCTAAAAAAACTCAAAAACATGTTGCCCAACTATGACAAAGCAACCCTCGTGCCTCCTGGAGTCGTTTGGGTCCAAGGGCGGAGGTTTCAGCTCTAGGAGGTCTGTGCAAAGGACATACTTCCCACGAGATGGGCTGCTCCCCTGCCAATAGTGGGCCCATGCCAAAGATGTGCTCTGGAGGAAATCCCGGAAGACGTTGGCGTGCGGAAGGAAGTTGTAGAGCTCGACTTTTGGGGGCTTCCTGGGGTAGTCCTCGGGCAGGAGGAGCACCATGTGGATGCGGAGCCCACTGAAGTGGCCGGAGATAGGGCTCATGGTGACGTGCCACTCATAAATGTTGTCTTCCATGACCCGCACGTCAATGCCAGGGATCCCACGGCGACGCAAGTCATCGAAGTCCTTGAGGAGGCGATACTGCACGAGGACCTTCTCGCGGTTGTGCAACTCGGGCATCTTTTGGGCGCAGGCACGGCTTCTATGGCGACAGCTGGTGATGGATGCATGTGACAAAACTGAGCTGGAGCCAAGATGGCAGCATCAGAGAGCGAGATTCGATTCAACTGATGCAAGGACTCCGGACATCCTCGTAGCTGCAGATGCTATCCCCTTTTCTCCCCGAGTTCTCCCATCTTTGCGATTTTCACGCCCGGCGCAAGGGCACGGGATTCCTGCGGCCGGAAAGCGGCAAGGAATCCCAGGCTCGAAGCTGCGGAAGTCAAACCCCTAATATAAGGGGCCTAAATAATTACCTATATTATGTTGGGGGGGGTTCCTTATTATAATTGTAGTATAATGGGCCCCAAAACCCTATTCTAATTATTAAGGCCCCTATATTATGACAATTCGCAAAGCCTAGCCCTACCTATAGTCTCCATTGTAGTTCCTCTTATGGGTTTTAACCAATTCTATATTAAGGATCCTATTAAAGGTAAGCCCAAAAAAGGAACTACAATGGAGACTAACGTCCTAGCATCTCGAAACCCGAGAGTCCTCCAGAAAAACCCATGACCCTAACCCCCCAGGACCCTACTGTATAGGGTGCTAGAGCCCCTAGGGCCCTTTTGAGTGGGTACCTAGAGGGGGGTTAGGGTAAGATGGCCCCCCTCGCTCAAACTCCCTGCCTTCCCTAAACCCTAAACCCCTAAACCCTGAGCCCTGAACCCAAAGATGCCCCCCCCCCCCGAAAAAACTCCCTGGCTTTTTTCTGCGCAAGATTGTGCCTCCAGCTCTGTTGGCTACCGGGAATTCAGACTGTGGAGGCCGGGGTCCCAACGGCAAAGCTCCTCGGGAGGCCTTTTTGGGCTTTACAGTGACCCTTCAAAATTCTCCAAGATGTCTTTTCCGGGTCGAAGAGGGGGGTCTACTGTAGGAACCTGATTAAGAAACCCTGGCCCGAATAACCCCCAAACATGTGAGGATTCATAGAAGGAACCCTAATAAAGACCCAAGGTTTCTTAATCAGGTTCCCTAACCCATACCCTGTAAACCTTAAACCCTAACCCAAAACCCTAAACCCTAAACCCTTAAACCCTAAGAAAAGCCCCCAAGGTTTCTTCATCAGGTTCCCATATTAAGGGAGCACCGAGCGTGAAAGACCGAACCTTGCCAGTCTCACGCAGTCCATACCCAGACCCCTGACAGAGGATCCCAGAGAGTAGTTCCCTGCAAGAGCTTCCTTTGAAGTGGGCAGTTGGGTTTAGGGCTTATATAGCGTTTAAGGTATTTAAGGTTTAGGGTTCAGGGTTTAAGGTTTAGGGTTTAGGGTATAGGATTTAAGGTTTAGGGTTTAGGGTTCAGAAAATGGATCGCGAATCGGGGGTTCTACTTTCGGCATCCTCGCGGGGGTCCAGGCAATCAATTTACGGGACTTTTTCTCAGTGCGTTAAAGTTTTGGGAAAGCCCAGCTATGGCCCGAAAACATCTTGAATTAAGCAAGTACTCATCGAACATTGTACGTCGGCCTCCAAGCGTTGTTGTACGGGATGATCCTCATGCTCTTCACCCTCCAACTGTCGAAAATGACAACCTCGTCACCATCGCCTGGATCGAATCGAATTGAGTCATACCTGGGTGGCTCTCAAGGCTCACTTCACAGCCCATCTTGTAGTTTGGGGCTTAGGGTTTAACGTCTAGGCGTGCCTGCGATGTAGTGTGGTGGAATGTAGCTGTCACTGGCCATGTCTATTAAAGGAGATGCATCACTGAACATGTCAAAAACATCTTCTTCAGGAAGGCCCGTGGTGCCCAGTCCCCAGGAACTCCTGCTTGTTCCACTTGTGGCCACAGTTCGCGCTCTCGTACTTGACGCGTCCCACATCCACTTTCGCCTTGGTCAAGCATCTCAACCTAGTGGTTATTGCTACCTGATAACTGCATGTTTACTGAATAAACCCTAAACCCTAAACCCCAAACCCGTAAACCCTAAACTCTAAACCCTAAACCCTAAACCCCAAAACCCTAAACCCTAAACCTATGTTTTCCTTAACAACAGCTCAGGTCGCCTCAATCACGCAGCCGCTCTTGGAGTCATCGCCAATGGCCTTTGTCTTCGTCGCCTCTGGAGACCTCTTTAAGGGTTTAGGGTTTAGGGATTAGGGTTTAGTGTTTAGGGTTTTGGCTCTTAGGATGAAGGGGGGTTTGTGGCTAACTTATTTCGGGCATGAAACCCAACCCTCTAAAGTGAGTCTCTAAATCCAGTTTGAGGCCAAAGCTTCGGAATTCAGGTGCGTAAGGTTGGTTCAAACGGTCACGAAGATCAGAAACTGGCGCTGACATCGATCTAGTAGGAATCTCACCCAGCAAACCAATCCATTTATAAAAAATAACATCTCCGCACACAGCCTATGCTTGAATTGCTGAACTCCCATAAATAAACCCTTCGATTCCCTAAAACCCTTGATTCCAGACAACCCAACCCTTCCCCCTCCAAAAGGCCCCTCCCCGAAACCTTAAACCCTAAACCCTAAACCCTAAACCCTAAACCCCTAAACCCCTAAACCCCTAAACCCCTAAACCCCTAAACCCTAAACCCATTAAGGCCCCTAAACCCCTAAACCCTGAGAACCAAGAAGTCCCAGGAACATGGCGAAGTAAATCGCTCCGCCACAATGGCCATCCTAGGTTCCCGAGTAACCCCCTTAATAACAAGGGTACCCTTTTTCCTAATGTTTCGGCTTTAAATAAGGAGATCCCCAAATAAAAAAGGGCAAAAGCGTACCCCTAAACCCTAAACCCTAAAACCCAAAACCGCAAAAACCCAAAAACCCTAAAACCTAAACCTAAACCCCAAATATAAAAAAGGTCAAAAAGGGTACTACTCGGGAACCTGGCATCTGATCCTGGTCGGAAGGCCGAGGCCACAATCAACCTGGGCTCTTCTTTGCGGGCTCTCGGGCTTCTCTGGGTGTAAGGATTAGGGTGTAGGAGTTTAGGACAATAGTATAGGGTTTAGGGTTTAGGGGGTTTAGGGTTTAGGGTTTAGTGTTTAGGGGTTTAGGGGTTTAGGGGTTTAAAGGGTTTAGGATTTACGGTATAAGGACGAGGGTGTAGGAGTTCCAAAATGGGGAACGCTGCTTCTAAGGGCTTAGGGTTTAGGGGTTTAGGGTGTAAGGATTCGGGTAGCTTCTCTAAATTAGGGTCCCTTTTGAGGGTCCTGTTTATAATAGTGCCGTACTATGTTTGGGACCTAAAAGGGACCCTACTTTAGAGAACTACCCATTAGGGTGTAGGAGTTTATTTTAACAACGGCACCTGCTCTTTATTCGTATTGCAATCGCTGCAACACTCCTCAACCCTAAACCCTAAACCCTCAACCCTCCTCAACACGGGCCCAGCAACTTGCACGCTTTTGGGCTCGTCTGATGGAAGGCAGTCACCTCTCGGGTTTTTGGGATTTAGAGTTTAGGGGTTTAGGGTTTAGGGTTTTAGCGTTTAGGGTTTAGGGTGTAGGGTTTAGGGTTGCTGAGGGGTTTGGGGTTTTTCTTGGGATTAGGGTTTTAAGTTTTCCGGGGTATTTTAGGGCTTTAGGATTTTAGTGCTTTGGCTTGAGGGTTTAGGAAACGAACAAAACAAACAACTTTCCCAATAGACTCCCCCCCGCCAGCCCTCGGCCGTTTCCGTTGTTGGATGGCGGAGGTGATGGCCTTACTGAGGGTCATTGAGCAACAACGTTTGCTTGAGGACTTGTAGTTGGCCCTTCCCTAACCCCCCTAAACCCTAAACCCTAAACCCTGAACCCTAAACCCTAAACTCTAAACCTAGGTACCTACTATTTAGGGTACTAGAACCCACCCTTACAGTGCCTGGAGGGATTAGGGCTCTTAATGCGACAGATCAAGATGAGCCCCCTAGACTCCTGTAACTCCTGTAATTCCTTTGAGGCCACAAAAGTTCCCTAAGCCCTATAGCCCCTACATTTCTTTATAAGCCCTCTGAATCATCGAGGGGCCATAATAATTAGAATAGGGTTTTGGGGTGTAGCGAGAGTGACAGTTGCACCCTCTTGAACAAGAACTCTCAGAGCAGATTATATTAAGAATAGGGTTTTGGGGTATACTGTTATACTATAACTCTAAAAAGGAACCCCAAAACATAGTACGTATAGGTAATTACTTCGGCCCCTTGGTTAGGAGCAACTAAGGGGATGGCTGCCATTGTGGCGGCGGCGGCGGCGGTGGTGGAGCGCGTCGACGCCGGCTCCGGCGGCGGCGGCTGTCGGGCGGTGGCCTCTGCCAGCCACACCTCCTGGGTTGTGAAACCCTACTAAACCCTGCCTAAACCCCAAATCCTTTAAAGGAAACTACCGGTGGGGAATTTAGGGTATATAGGGCTTCTGTAAGGCTTCTATAAGGTATATAGACCTTCTATAAGGCTCCTATAACGGTAACTACCCACCTGAAAATGTCCTAGAACTAAACCCTAAACCCTAGGTTGCCTAAACCATCCTAAACCCAAACCTTACATCCAATACTACGCCTCGCCATCTTTCCAGAGTTCAGGGTAATCTCCTAGCACGCATCTCCAAGAATTCTCTCTCGTGTATAGGCTGGTCAGAGTTTCGGGTCCGGGTGCTATCCCTGTACGTCAAGTGATGGATGAATTTCTGCAGTGATGTGGGAGTTGCAGTTGCAGTGTTGCTGGTCGAATCTCGGTCAATTCTTACCGCTTGGCTGGCAATGCTCTGTGGTGGTTTCACGTGTACACTGGACTCCATCCATGCAAGGAGAACCTCGACCATATACTGTATCTTCAACCTTTAAAGAATGAATTAGGGTCTAAGGTTTAGTGCCTTAGAGGATTACGTAGCAGGAAGAGCCGAGAGATCAGTGCAGTTGGCTACTGCAATGAGTAGTAGAAGGTTTCTTTATGGCTGAAGGAACCCGAACCCGTCAGTACATCGGCAAACGGCCCTAACACAAAAACCAACAGCAAAAACAAGAACATAAGTACTTCAGATCCCAGCATCTTGCCGTAGTCCCAACAACAGTTCCGGTACCGAGTGCAGCCGCTGTTGCATTGGCAATAGAACTCAGGATGGTAGCCTGGGTTCTTGCTCAGGAACTCAAGCTAACACAATAGGGAACCATACTACCTTACCTGTTTTCCTTAGTGCACGTATAGTATGGTAATCATGGGGACGTACAGTAAGTACTACAGTTTCCGTGTTATGGCAACTCAACCGCAAAGTACCTCGAGACGAGCCCAGGAGCTGCCGCGGCAGCCGTAGTACCAGCAGCCAACCCAACCAGATGCCGATTTGAAGGCTGCGACTGGGGTGAAATTGCTCGGACCTGGGTGCGCCCCTGTAAGGGTTTAGGGTCTCTATAGCCTGTACGGGATCCTTTTGGGGTGTTCTTTAAAGGGGCTTTAAGGGTTTAGGCTGTTAGGATTTGCGGGTTTTTGCAGTTTGGACTTTAGGGTTTAGGGTTTGGGGCTTAGGGTTTAGAATTTTGGGTCTAAGTGTCTTCAATTCACCTGTAAACTAATCATAGGATCTCGTTTAGCCCAAATAAAGGAAATACAAAAATATCCCAATGGCCAAATGAGGGGGGGGGGCGTTTCGGTAGGGGCCTTAAATAGTTAGAATCGGGTTTTGCGGTTCCTTATCATAGCTTTAGTATAGTATAGCCCCCAAACCCTAAACCCTAAACCCTAAACCCTAAACCCCTAAACCCCTAAACCCCTAAACCCCTAAACCCTAAACCCATTAAGGCCCCTAAACCCTAAACCCATTAAGGCCCCCTTTTCTTACCGAGGGACTTGTGCCGGCTTCCATGTGGATGGAGACATTCGGGGGGAGCAAAGGATGAGCCTCCAAAATTGGGAACGCTGCTTCTGCGGTTTCAAACGAACCATTGGCGCTGCTCGTCTGGTTCGCAACTCCTTGGCTGAGACAAAAAAAAGTCCAGGAAAATCCCGAATTTTTGCGGTGGAAGATATGGCCAAAAAAAACCTAAGAAGGGACTCCCCAGATCCAGAAACCAAAAGGTAGCGAAGAAAGGCCCTACTTCCAGATCCCAGACATTTAGGCCCTTAAACCCTTTAAACTCCAAAACTCCTGAACTCCTAAACCCTCAAACCCTAAACCCCGAAACCCTAAACCCTGAACTCCTGGGGTCCTAAACTCCTCAACTCCGAGACTCCCAAACCCTAACCCCTGAACACTATAGGGGTTAGGGTTTTTGGTGGCTTATAGGGTTTATAGGGCTTACGGGGTTTAGGGTTTAGGGCCCTGAACTCCAAAAACTTTTAAACTCCAGAGCCCAGGATCTTAGGCCCTTACCCTAAACCCTAAACCCTGAACCCTAAACCCTAAGCCCTGAACTCCACAGCCCAGGCTCTTAGGCCCTTATCCTGAAACCCTAAACCCTCAACTTTTAAACTCCCAGGGCCCAGGCTCTTAGGCCCTTACCCTAAACCCTAAACCCTAAACTCCCTTACCCTGAACCCTAAAACCCAAAGCCCTGAACCCTAAACCCTGAACCCCAAACCCTAAACCCAACTAAAAAAAGCGCAAAAGGGTACTAAAGCTCCTAAGGCCCAGGCTCTTAGGCCCTTGCCTTGGTCCCGAGAGGAGCTCTGACTTTGGTTTCCTGCACTCAGGTTTCCCTGCCGGAGGTTCCGACTCACCTGCAGGGCTTTTTAGGGGATTTAGGGGAGTTAGGGCTTCTAGGGTATGGGGTTTAGGGCTTCGGGCTGGCTTCTTTAAGTTTAGGCTTTATAGGGTTTAGGTTTCCCTGCCGGAGGTTCCGACTCACCTGAAGGGCAATAGGGGATTTAGGGGTTTAGGATTTTAGGGGATTTAGGGGATTTAGGGCTTCTAGGGTTTAGGGGTTTAGGATTTTAGGGGGTTTAGGGCTTCTAGGGTTTAGGGTTTAAGATTTAGGGCTTCTTTAAGGGCTTCTAGGGTTTAGGGTTGAGGATTTAAGGCTTCTTTAAGTCTAGGGTTTATAGGCTTTAGGGGCTACTGTACCTGAAGGGATTGAGGCTTTGGGGTTTATTCAGGGTTAAGGGCTTTGAGGGTTTAGGGACTCACCTGAGGGCTTCTGATAAACCATCGTGGTATTGTGGTTAAGGATTCGAGGTCCTACATACAGATCCTGGTGCCGTTACTGAAAAGTCACCATACTTAGTGTGTTTTGGGATAAGGGTCCTTGCACTACTGTTGAAGATCTAAATCCTGCATCACCTTAAGGCCCCCTAAACTATGGGATTCATGGTATATTCCTTATTATGGTTCATATCATCATTCCTTATTATGGTTCATGCGGGATCTTGTTATATCATCAACCGTATGATGTAGAACCAAAGAAATTCTACGGCGACCTGGCTTCAGGCCCTTGTCACAAGAACCCTGGTACTGTTCTCCAGGCTGGAAGCTCCAGGGGGCAACTTGCTGGGCTAAACCCGAAACCCTAAACCCTCAAAGGAGGTCCCTAAGCCCTAAAAGAGACCTTATAAACCCTAAAAGAGGTCCTTATCTGCTAAACCCTAAACCCTAAAAGAGGTCCCTAAACCCTAAAAGAGACCCTAAACCCTTAAAGAGTCCTTATCTGCTAAACCCTAAACCCTAAAAGAGACCCTAAAGCCTAAAAGGGGTCCTTGTCTGCTAAACCCTAAAGCCTAAAAGGGGTCGTTATCTGCTAAGCCCTAAACCCTAAAAGGGGTCCTTATCTGGAGGTTTCGGGTCGGAACTGCATATGTATGGGGACGGCAATCAATTAGAGTCTCTTAGACATTGGAGCTCCCGGATAAAATTACAGCAGAGTATATCCCAAAACCCCATGCAAATGACAAACGCCCCTAAACCCTAGAACCCTGCTAGAAGCCCTTATACTACGCCCTTCAAGAAAAACCCTTAAAGGAACCGTTCCACCTGAGTGTTCAAGTCTCCTGTCACAGTCTGGCTCAGGACCCAGCATAGCAATGCAGACCAACGAGACATCATTGCGCTAACTGGCTCTGAAAAGCACCGGAGGCTACCTTTGATCTGAAGTGGCCGCCGGGAAATCGGGTGAGTGTGGTCCTATGGAACATAGAACAGCTTCAAGGGACCCCCTTATTGAGCTCTTGGAGGGATCTAGGGTTTCGGGTTTAAAGGAAAACCTGAAGGGAAAGGAGAAGACCACAAAGCCTTGATCCATGTCTTACACATACAGTTCCGGTGAACCAAGCTCAAGACAAAACACTGTGGTGTCAGTGCCGATACAAGGTCATGTCCCTAACACCTCCTAGCAGGCACGCCTTGCCCAGTTGTAATTAGTTGTCCTCTACTGCAATGGGTTACTGCAAGGGTTAGCCGATTAAACTCTGAAGAGCTAACCCAGGCTCGCAGCCTCTAAGGTCAAACACCATGCCGTCGGGAAGCGACTTCTATACGCAGACCCACGTGCTGCCCACCCCTGGCCCCCACATCTTTGAGCAACTCACAAACATCAGAACCCCAGATCCTGAACCCTCAACCCGAAGCCCTCAACCCTCAACCTTCAACCATCAGCCCCGAACCCAAACCCTAAACCCTACAACCCCCAAACCCGAAAAAAAAACCCAAAGAAGGCGCTAATGTAGGGGCCTTAATAATTAGAATAAGGGTTTTATGGGTTCCTTATTATAAGTATAGTATAATATACCCCAAACCCTATTCTAATCATTCAGCCTCCTATATTACTCCGACTCCCCAGCCTCCTCCCGATTCATGCGCCCGTGGCCGCGACCAGCTGACCAAGGGCCTGGCGTGCCGAAGGCTATGACAAAGGGGGGCCTTTTAGGGTTTAGGGGTTTAGGGGTTAAGGGTTTAGGGGTTTAGGGCTTAGGGGTTTAGGGCTTTAAGGGTTTAGGGTTTGGAGTGCTCCTGAGTGTGGCTCGCGAAATCAACCGGCCAGCAACAGCACTGAAATACTTTTTCATCTGCGGCAGTCAAGAAGGTAGCTATTCAGGATATCGCATGGAAAAACCCTTGGAGGATACCCGTCTCTTCGAGAAAATCCCTCAGGGATATGCACCTGCGCTCTTCGAATTTGGTGACACTGAGTAGCGGTGACATGAGGCCCCTGGAGGCCAGATGTCACTCGGGTTTGATGTGCAATGGTGCGCGGGTAGAACCCCAAACACAAAACCCTAAAACCCTAAAAGCCCTGAAACCCTAAATCCTGACAAGACACAGAACTTACAGTGCACACACGACTTTAGGGTGGCTGCAGGTATGCCCGACCAGTTCAGGAAGCATACCTGGAGCAGCACAAAGCTGAAGTGGGATCAAAAATACTTTCCGCATCAAATGCGCCAAGGCATGCACAGTGCACATGCAGGATACAGGCATCACTACCCGGATATGCAGCATCAAGCATGCTGTGGTGGCAGTTCATCCGCCCGTGCAACTACACATTGCGTGCTTACAACAAGCCTTGCGACTAATGTAGGGGCCTCAATCCCTAAATCCTCTGCCTGACCCAGCCACGCGAGAGTTGTGACACCCTCTGACACGCTTCCACTCTTCCTTCGAACGCCTCGCGCAAGAACTCTGGCACGGAATGCCCTTGCAAGAAGTCCGCCGCAGTCCTTACTTCCCCAGTAGTCCACGCAAACTTTCAGGTGACTACTCAACTTCTGCAAAAAACCCTAGCAGCTTACTGGTTCGGTCTTGGAGAACGGTTTAGGGTTTAGGGGTTTAGGGTTTAGGGTTTAGGGTTTAGGGCTTAGGGACCTAAGGGTTAAAAAGGGTTTAGGGTTTGGGGTGTAGGGTTTAGGGAACTATCGAAGATAGGACTCCATCCCCTCGAGTTCCGCGGAGTCAAAGCTGCTCCTGCCGCAATCAAAGCTGCAGCGCATTCGTGCCTAGGTTCCCCGGTTTAGGGGTTTAGGATTTTGGGGATTTGGGGTTTAGGGTTTTCGGGTTTAAGGGTTTAGGGTTTCGGGTTTTAGGGCTTCTAGGTTCCCCCCAAAAAAACCCTTAATAATAAGGGTACCCTTTCTCCAAGATTCCCTAAACCCTAAACCCTAAACCCCCAAATAACAAAGGGCAAAAGGGTACTACTGGGGATCCTAGTTGCTGGCCAGTCAGCAAGGCGATCATCAAAGGAGTCGCGCCCTTTGCGTGGTACAAAATCTTGCTTACCATGGTGACCTTGCCAAGCCGGTGTTGCAGGACCTTCACTTTGTATAAGGTCCGAATCATGGCCGTGCGCCTCCAGTGTTCATCTGTTTGTGCATTCACGTTTGCCCTCATTTCGAGCAGTCGGTGCACCACATCAGCACTCCCGCCCCCCATTGCTGCATTATAGAGGGCGGAAGTTGGATTGAGGGCAGTTGCAGTGCTCTGAGAAAGAAGCTCATTGATGGCTTCCAATGCTCCATGATAGGCAGCACCATCCATGACACTCACGCCAAAGACATTCGTTTGAGCCGGGCTGCACCCAGCCTGGCAAAGGATCTGGATGGCTTCTGTGTTGTTTGCGTGGGCTGCGCAATTGAAAGGGCCACGGACAAACATGCGATTTGCGACTCTTGCTTTTGCGGACAGGAGAAGCTTCGCGGCCTCATTGTTCTTGAAGATGCAAGCAATGGACAAGGGTGGAGTCCCAGACGGCTGTCCGATGGCCGGGTGGACTTTCTTGCTTCCTTGGTTCGGGTCTGCTCGGATCTTAAGCAGATCTTCCACCAGCAAGGGGTCCCCTTTGAGGGCGGCGTAGTGCAGAGGGGACCAGCCCCCCCGGTCGATCTCCCTCACGCTGCGGAAGCCGTTCTGCTGGAAAAAAGTGGTGACGAGGGTCGAGTCCCCCAAACCCGAGGCAAAGGGGTCCTTAGTTGCTGAGTTATTCTAGCCCCAAAAAACGGTTAACCTTTCGAAGTATAGCAGTAGGCCTTGTATACTAGCCCCAGAAGGTCAAAAAAGGACCTACTCAGCCTCAGAGGGTCTTCTTCCATCTCAACATCCCGAAAAGGTCAAAAAGGTTACCTTCTAAAGCCCAAAAGTATGTAGAACCATAACCCTTTATAGGTTTCGGGCCATTATTTTACCTACTTTTGGGGGTTAAGGTAAGGGTCTTCTTCCATCTCCAAGAAGGGCTGAACGGCGGCCTCGGGATTCATTCCCCTGAGCAACAGGTGCTGCTGGTTCAAGAGCGCACGGTACCTCGGTTCCCCGGTTTAGGGGTTTAGGATTTTGGGGATTTGGGGTTTAGGGTTTAGGGGTTTAGGGGGTTTTAGGGCTTCTAGGTTCCCCAGGAACCCCCTAATAATAAGGGTACCCTTTTTTCCCAATATCCGGCTTTATAAGGAGACCCCCAAAGAAAAAGGGCAAAAGGGTACTAGTCGGGAACCTAGGTACCCCGGCAAGTCCTGGGCTTTGAGCAAGCGAAGCATCCGGCGTTTCAGTGCCGCCACGAGGACTGGTCCAAGCTTCAAGCGATCCTGCGGCACAGTGAAGACGCCCTCGCCCACCGGACCACATCCGGCGCGAAGGAATGCACAGGTACCTGCTATGAGCTCAACGTCTTTGGGGCTTTTCACCATGATACAGGAGTGTTGCTGAGAGAGTTCTCCGCATGTTCTCTCGAGGCGACACCATCCTCGGGACTGCCAAGTCAGAGGCGTGATCAAGTTGCAGGAGCGCGGATTTTCTAAGACGGGAACAAGCGCGAAAAAGAAGGAGCTCTCTTGCACATAGGCTGGGATGCTGTTGATAGCATTCAGCAGCTTACTTCCAGATTCGCCCTCGGGAGAGAAAAGTGATGTCATGCTTCGGCTCAACCGATCTTTCTGCGGGCAGGAGAAATAGTCATACCAGAAGAACAACGGTTCGGACAGAAGCCTTGATGTTGGCAAGGGCTTTATATGTCCTTCTGCGGCCTCAGAAACAAGTTCCACAGGTATGCTCTGCAGGTTACCATTCTTCATCTCCTTGAGCGCCTCCTGCAACACCCTCATCTGCTTGAACTCGGGGTCGGGGTGGTCAGGGGCGACCCACTGGTGCGAAACAAACGCGGCTTTGCCCATGGGCCTTTGAAAGTCCACCAGCATGTCTTTGGCCTTCAGCACTTCGTGAGGTTCGACCTTGGTCATCTCCAGCAAAGTGTCCAAAGGCACCGTGTACATGGGGAAATGCATGGGGGCACCCTCAGCTCGGCTGGTCTGCAAGGATTTCGCATATTGGGCCAGAGGAGTCAATGAGGTACCGCTGCATGTCATGGCACCACGGCGTCTAAAGGCTAGGAAGCTTCCCTTTCAGGAGTCCACCTGGAAAAACCAAAAAATGTGCCTTCCCCGTTTGGGGTCCGCAAGCATGAGCCTGCAAAACTCTCTCCGACCAACAAGACTCTTGCGCAACGATGATACTACATACTGCCCATGGGGCTCCTTAGTAGTTCCTTTTTGGGGATTACAATATGGGATTTAGGGTTTAGGGTTTTAGGGTTTAGGGTTTAGGGGGGACTACCTTACAGGATTCTGAATATAAGCCAGGAAAAGGAATTACTTAGGAGCGTATGGGTACTTACTAAACGTCCATACTATAGTAAACTAAGTAACCCTATTGACATGACCCGGTGGCTTAAGGAATCCATGCTGCCCACTACTAAGCGGGCCCTTATACGTAGATAGTTACATAAGGAATGTAATTAATGGCACATTTTAACTAGTTATGCAGACCCCTATATTGCCACTACTTTGGCATGAGGCGGCTGAGCCTTAGCACGTGGTTTGAATTGCAAAAAGGACCATACACTGCTGAGCACAGCTCCGCTTCACAAGTGAATGTCTCGATGCTGGGATAAAGGTTCGGCACTGACAACATGACAAAAAGAAAGAGTCCGACATGGAGTCTGTCACGGGAGCGGCCCAGCCAAGATCAGGGTTTAGGGTTTAGGGGGCTAATCATCTGAAGCTTCAGCGAAGCAGGGTGACCTTGCAACGCCCAGTGCTACCAATGCTTTGCACATGACTCAGCAAACGAGCCCGTATAGTAATGACAATAACACTGATGATAGCGGTCATAATAATCGTAATAATGATAGTAATCATCACAACCATACCCATAACCATAACAATAATAATAATACTGATAATAGCAACAATAATAACAACAATAATAACAACAATAACAATAGTCGTAAGAATAATCACAAGAGTACTAACAACATACTAGTGCTGCTCCAAAACCTGGCCTTGGTGAGGCCTGCTTCCAAGAGGTCTGCAGCGCAGGATTGCCTGGATATGCATGCGAAAGACTCATGGGTATAGGGACTTTCTTCGGGTCCCTTTTACAAGGGTGTCGTACTATTTTCGGGAATTGAAAAGCGGATCGAATTAGAGAACTACCCTAATGGCAACACGAGAACATCCTTATGAGTTGGGCGATCGCGCTAAACCCTAAACCCTAAACCCTATCAGTTGCCAAGTTCGGGGGGCGATCGTACTAATCGGCCTCTTGGGAGATTGACGGACCGAGTGCCCCGGAAAATTGCAAGATGAAGAACAGCACGTGTGGTTGATGATATAAATCCTTAGCATTGCCTGGAGGACCCTGAACTATGGGAGCTATGGTGTATTCCACACTATGGGTAATGCAAAATTCATATCATCAACCCTATCATGCACTGGATCTGTTGCTAAAACTTGTTTACTGCAGTCGACAAGGTCACTGAAACGTGACCCCAAAAGACACAGGAATATTCACCTTGACTAACGTCGAGAACCACGGGGCAGCCTATATTCCATTGCTTCTCCTACACTGTGAAGGGACCCATGCTCCTGGAAGATTCCACAAAAGCCAAGGAGAGCTACTCCCTCCCTTGAAACTCAACCCGACTGCCCACATACTACATTGTATGACATACACATGTACAATTCTGGTGTGTTGGTCTGCGGTTTGTGTCGTGTAGTGCACAGCGGCGCGGAAATCTGTGGTGCTCTGGGCATGTTTCGGCCACAGCCTAGACGGTCATCAGCAGAGGCTCTAGATCATCCAGCAAGAGTTCGTCGCGCTCTCAATAGCTGTATGTCATGCTAGCCAAGGCAGATTGACATGGCCCTGGCAGCAGATCACGAAAAAAAAAGGTTCAGCGTCACATCATGCGGTGCAGCCACATACCTTTCGCCATGGCGTAGTCGCTGCAGCAATCGCGTCGTAGGATTTCAGGCCATCCAGTGGCGTTAGTGGCCCTCTTGTGATGGTCCATGGCATGGCAGCACACATGCTTGTCGCTGTTGATTGAGCCGCTGCTACACTTTGTGAGAAGCTGCCCATAGCGGCAGAGGTCAGCTTCATCTTCGCCGTGTCGCAAACCGCCATGCAAATGAAGCCGGTGGTGAGGGCTTGCTGCTGAGGCTCCTCTGCAGGCATTCCCTTCCAAAAATTCAGTATACTAGAATAGAACCAAGACCAGACCCTATGCTAATCAATGAGACCCGTATGTGTATATATATATGCATATATTCATCTCTGCAGGTATTCCCTTCCAGAACTTCAGCATACTAGATCCCAAACCCTGTTCCAATAAGACCCCCCCTCTATTCCAATTCATACTGTTGATGATATAAATCCTTAGCATGACCTTAAGGACCCTAAACTATGGGAATTATGGTATGTTCCTTATTGTGGGTACTGCAGGACGTATATCATCAACCGTAAGTCCCCTATTGTCTCACCTCTGCGGGGTCGTCGCAATTCGGGTCGCAAAGCACCCGGTGCCAGTTGGAAAGCGTCTTGGCCAAGGCAGACGGCTCATAGAGCTCGAGCTTGCTGGTCCTCGCTTCCCCATTAACGTTTAGGGTTTAGGGTTTAGGGTTTCGGGTTTGGGGTTAGGGTTTAGGGTCCAAGTACCTCATAATCATATACTCTTCTGCATACTAACCTACAAAAATACTATCCGTAACCCCAAGTACATGATTATTAGATCCTTTGGACCCTTAGGGAAAGGGTAGTTCTCTGCAATAGGGTCCCTTGTTAGGTCCCCAATATAGTACGGCACCCTTATAACAAGGACCCCCGAAAAGGGAGCCTAATTTAGCAAGGAATCAACCCTTAAAGGAACCCTTATGGGCCTATGGATACCCTTTTTTCCACAGTGTAGGGCTTGGGGTTTTTAGGTTTTTTGGGTTTTGGGTTTTAGGGTTATAGGGCTTTAGGGTTTAGGGTTCTGTGAAGTGGGATCAAGGATTAGAACTACCCATATGGTGACCCTTTTCTCTGCAGTAACAATTATTGATGATGAGCATGATGATGACCACTTTGTACCACTGGTTAACCTTATGATGATGGTGCTTCTGATTGTTGTTCAATCTTGTCAGAAGGAAACTCCAAAAAAACAAAGTAGTATCCTAATCCCTGGACCCTATACAAAATACAAAACCCTGTACTACCAGTTGGCCTGCTTGACTCGACCCTAAACCCTACACCATGAACATTCATAACCCCTGTACGCTAAACTCCAACAGCCCCAAAAAACCCTAAAACATCGAGTGATCAAAATAGGAAGTTTGTAATCCCTGGGTCCCAAACCCGCAAAACGTAAACATCCATACACCCGAAACTCTAAGCCCTAAATCCTAAAACCTTATCAGCCTATAAGCACTGCACTATTTGGCAAGCCGAAGCTGGCAGCAGTATACTAATCACGGAAGTCTCAAACCCCGAAACCCCATAAATGCTGTAGGCCCTGTACCCAAGCTCGATCAGCCCTATACCATTTCTTAGCGACCCAAAAACAGAAACTGTGATACTCATCAACTCATCAAGCCATAGGCCCTCAGCCCCATGCTACCCATAGTCTCCACTGCTCTGTTCCTTTCTTGCTTTAACCAATTCTATATTCAGGATCCTGTGAGGTAACCCGACAAACGAACTACAACAGAGACGAGAGACATCCGAACTCCCAAATAAAACTTGCAAGCTCGTTAAGTCAGTGCTGTTGTTCTTCTTGTTGTAGTTGATTTGGGGGCCCGAGGAGCTTTGAATCATTAACTATTGGACTATCCGTTATCAATGACGGATGATGTATGCTTGGCTATCATAGATACGTATTAGTTATCAACTATTTTGTTCATCATTACTTATTTCTTCTTATTATTAGTGTTAGTGTCCTTATTTTTCCTTCTTCTTCTTCTTATTGTTATTATCCCTAAACCCTAAACCCCAAACCCCTAAACCCCAAACCCCCTAAACCCTAAACCCTAAACCCCAAAATCCCCTAAACCCCAAATCCCCTAAACCCCAAGCCCCTAAACCCCTAAACCCCTAAACCCCCAAACCCCAAACCCCCAAAATCCTAAACCCCTAAACCCCCAAACCCCCAAACCCCCCCGCGGGTAATGGTGTTTGCTGGTCCGAGGATCTCTGCTCGGAGACCGAAGAAGCAGGCATTCGGGAGCTGCTTCTTTGCCTAGGATGGCCCCGTGGTTGTTGGGATTAAGAGCCGCGCCCCCTTTTTTGGTGGTGGGTTTAGGTTTTAGGGTTTAGGGCTTTTAGGGTTTTGGGCTTAGGTTCCAGGGTTTTTAGGGCTCTTAGGGTTTGGGGTTTAGGGTCCTGAGACTTCAAACAGCGAAAAGAGCCCATTGGGAGACCTCGTTGCCGCCCTCACGAACTTCGAGGGCTGGGAGCTGGAGGGCAACTCAGCCAAGGCCTTTCCATGGTTTAGAATTCAGGGTTTTGGGGTTTTTAGGGTTTTGAGGATGATTGGGGGTGTTAGGGTTCAGGTTTTGGGGATGTAGGAGGTTTTTTGGGACTTGGGGTTGTAGGGTTTGGGAGTTGGGTGTTGGGGGTTATTTCGGACACTTCCCAACGCCTTTAGGACGGAATTCACTCTTTCCGGGTTGTGGTGCCAGAAATCGTAGCCGTCCAGGGGAAAGGGACCAGATCCCGGTGGCACCACTAAGCGGCAGGTGCCATCTGCAATCGCCGCCCGCGCAATGGGGTCTTGCAGTGTGGCTGGGACGCCGATGTCCTTGAAGTGCTCCAAACCTGGGTTTAAGGCTTTTGGGTCCAAGACCCTATTATATAAGGCTTTTGGGCTATGTTGATGCCAAGGGTTCAGGAACTCAACTTGAGTTACCATAATGAACTTCAAGCCTAAACCGGAAGCCCCTAAACCGTAACTCCTTAACGCGAACCCCACCAGAAACCCTAAACCCTAAACCCTAAACTCTAAACCCTAAATCCCAAGAAGACCCTTATAGAACCCTTATAGAACCCTACACCCTAAACCCTAAACCCCCCAAAGAAACGCTCAAAGATCGCCGAGTCCACGAAGACGGGAGAGGCTCCCGCCGAGGCAGTCGCTGCCCGGGCCTCATCTCCTGGCAGGGCAGCTTTGACCCAGAGCCCCAATGCCCCCAATCTTTCATGCTTTCTAGGGTTTAGGGTTTAGGGTTTGTAGGGCTTAGGCTTCAGGGTATCCAAACCCCCGATCTTTCATGTTTTCTAGGATTTACGGTTTAGGGTTTACGGTAAACAGACACCTAGTGCCTCTCATGATTGCTATTGGCGAAGCAATACTATGGGTTTAGGCCCCAGGGTTGATGTCACAGTTTAGGGTTTAGGGCTTAGGGCTTTTAGAGTGTTTAAGGTTTGGGTTTAGGGTTTAGGGTTTAGGGCTTAGGGTTTAGGGCTTAGTGCTTATAGGCTCCAGGGTTTAGGGTTTGGGGTTTTCTCCTGACAGGGCCGCCCCCTAATCTTCCTAATATTCGGCTTTAATAAGGAGACCCCCAAAGGAAAAGGGCAAAAGGCTACTACTCGGGAACCTAGCTCCTGGCAGGGCAGCCCCCAAGGCCAAGGAGAGCGCTGATCCGAGGGCTTGGCGTCGAGGCACCGGGAGGCTAAAGCCCAGCCCTTCCTGAGCTCTTGCGAAAAGAGCTTAGGGTTTAGGGGTTTAGGGGCTTAGGGTTTAGGGGTTTAGGGGTTTAGGGGGGGTTTAGGGGGTTTAGGGGGTATAGGGGTTCAGGGGCTAGGGGTTTAGGGTTTAGGGCTTAAGGGTTTCGGGGTTTAGGGTTTAGGGCTTAAGGGTTTCGGGGTTTAGGGGTTTAGGGCTTGGGTTTAGGGTTTAGGGTTTAGGGTTTAATCTTAAGTCACCAGAATATAAGGAAGCCGAATTATTTGCCATAAACCCCTTGGTATTGTAACTTCAGCTAAGTTCCGATTATTGTAACCTGCAACTAAGTTCCTATTATTGTAACCTCAACTAAGTTCCTTAACACGATCCCAGCTTCCGCAAGAGCCAAGGCAGCGAGCAGGACCAGCAGCAGCGGCCCAAGTCGCGCTCCGCGGCGCTTCTCGAGCTCTGCAGGCATGGCTCTTAAGGCTTCAAGGATTCCGAGGCTGTCGAGGCATCTGACTTCTGACTTTGGGCCATCTCCTGCTGTCCTCACAAGTACAAGAGATGTGAGGTAAGGGGCATGTGAGTGCTCAAGTACAAGAGACGTGAGGTAAGGGGTGTATGAATAGTATCCACAACAGGACACCTACCTACACACAATGTTCACAAACCTGTCCGGGCACCCTCTAAACCGTCACGAAGTCCTAACCCCATACCCAAAATACTAAACCCAAAACCCTGAACCCAAAACCCCAAACCCTGAACTCCTGAACCCTAAACTCTACCTATAGTCTCCACTGTAGTTCCTTTTTGGGGTTACCATTTAGGATCCCTAATATAGAATTGGTTAAACCAAAA